CAGCCCTACTGCTTAATCAGTTTGGAGCAGAGCGTAGTCTGTAGCTTGTTAATAAGAGCAGCTTGCCCGAGCGGTTCGCACAATGGTGAGCTGCAGAGGAGGCTTGTTGCATAGCTGTGGATTTTATTTTGCAGCTCTGTTAATTAAAACATATTTCACTTTGAAGGAGGTTTTTACTGTTTTCTATGAGGGTGAGCAGAAAACTGTTCTCCTGGATAGATTAAAGGAGGGATATGAAGTTTTGTTTTTGTTTGTTTTTTTGTTTTTTTTTTTTTTTTTAGAAGTAACAACTTAACTTTGTTTGATGGGCAAACTCTTAGCAAAAACAATGTGTAGTTTCTTATTTTTATTTGTTCTCAGTCCTTGTGTACAGGCTGGTTTATGTGTCTGAATATCTTGGCCGTTTTGATAATATCAAACTAAATTTTCACATGCGAGTTGCCAAACTGGAAGAGAGACGTTGTCGCAGATTCTCGTTTCATTGATAAAGTAATTTTTACTTATACAAAGGTAAACTAAAATAATAAGGCCTGAAACTGTGCCATTGAAGTTAATGACAAACCCGTCATAGGTTTTATATAAAGCCTGTATTTTTATTATCCCAGCTCCAGCGTCTTTTGTTGCAAGTTTGCAGCAAAATGTTAGGGCATTTCTACGTGTTATTTTTATTATACAAAATCCCATTAAAATCAGTACTGAAGCATCCCATTAATTTAAATGGGACTTTGCATAGTTTGTTGAGTTCCAGGCCACAGATAAAGAAAAGTATGCAATGTGGAGTTAAACTGACCACAGTTTTTTTATTAGAAGACATTTAATCTCGAACGAACAGCGCAGTCTGAGGCATAAAAGTCTTTGTGAACTTCATCTGGGCTGGTGCAATAGGAGCCTCCACCGTGCAGCAACTTCTGGGTTGGTCGTCTGGGACCTCTGAGGACGGTGGAGTGTTCCCAAGCAAACCCCTAGCCCAGGTAGGTATGTAAAGTGCTCCCCAGGCAGCTTTGCCTTGGAAATGCTAATAGGTAAGCCAGCACACCCAGAACAAATGGAAAACTTGATTCAGCTATTTCTCTGGCTCCAAGTATCTGCTCGCCTCGACAAAGGCAAGGCTGCAGTCAGTGGGCAGGAGGCTGGGGGGGTCTCTGCAGCACTGAGAGGGCTGGAGCCGCTTTAGGTCGAAGCGATGCAGCCTCAGAACCCCCCACGTGAGCTTCACACGCTGGAAAACCACTCGGGATAAGGGATAAGGGATGGAAAACCATCGCCTCCGGTGTGTGGAAACAGCCGGACGCTGGCGAGGGGAGTTCAAACACCGAAGTGCGAAGAGCGGTGGGGAGAGCCGGTTCTAAAATGAGAGTGGGGTATATCGGTTATAAAAGGAGGGTGAGACCCTCCCCTTTGGGGGCTAAGGGAACATTAAATGACAGCCCCCCTCGGCTGCCCCCGGCGTGGGCACACACCTGGGCACCTCCAAGGGCAAATCCCGGAGGAAGCTGCACTTGGGCAAAGCGGTGCCAAGTCGAGCTTCAAAAACCCACCAAAACCCCCAAGAATTCGAGCTTTAACAATTGCGGGGGAGCGCTAAAGGTTGCTGGAAGGAGGGCAGCTGTAAAAGTGCGCAGGGAAGGGGTAGGAGCTGCTTTCTGCTCAGTGCCTCCCTGGGATTTTTTTTTTTTTTCCCCTGAGCCATAAATGTCTCAAAATGCCCAAATTTCGCCCAGGAGCGGCGGATCAGCTTTTCCTGGTACATTCACAGGGCAAAGCGGTCACCGGTGATGGCCACCGGCACAAAACCTCAAGCCGGCTGTGTCCCTGGTCCCCAGCTGAGTTTCAGGGGGGGTGTGTGTGTGTTGAGGGGGGTGTCAGGACTCCCGACAACAACTCTAAACTTGCGGCAGGGTTTGGCCAAGCGGGAGCCTTGCAGTCGCTGCTCTGATTTAGGACTAACAGTGCTACCTCCAGGAACAGGAGAAAATGAACACCGAAAATCCAAGCTAAAACAACAGCTGAGGGCTTGCGGATACACACACACGGCCCCC